TTTACACACGAGCTTCACCTGATGGCTCTGCCCGTGCCCTCCACTCACTCAGCTGTTCTCTATGTTAAGAAATAAGGCTCCAAGTAGGAGCACTGGCAAAGAAATCAAGTGCTTCTACTCAATACCTAGGACTAAGCTGCAAGAGAGGATTGCTTAGTGTGAGCGAGCAGAGAGCAGAAAACATCCCTCCCATGGACAGCCTCAAGATGCTCAGTGGCATGATCCTGTACCAGGAAAGGTCCACAGCACCGACGTGCCAATGCAATAGGAAGTACGTAACTTCTAGTCCTCATGAGTGCTTCTGAGCAAACGAAGTATGCAAAGGAAAAGCAGGATTTGCTGGGGGATGTAAGAAAGGTCGGGGTCCACGCGGCGAGGAGACCAGTGCATGTTCTTCCTGGTTGGCTAAAAAGGACAAAGTCCCATCGGATGTCTTGAGAGAAGAGGAAAAGGAAGGAATCCTGGAGCCAGTGATGTCTTGTAAGGGAAGAGCACAGGCCATGCTCCTTCCTGGTGGGATGGGAGGAGGACTAAGGCAGCTGCTGGGTTAAAGCAAACACAACACAAGGAGCAGCACTGAGACTCCTGGAGTGGCTGATCAGATGTGATCCATGTGGGTCATGGCTGGAAAGGCTCCTGGGTCCAAAACATCTGAGGGCACGTGCCTGCTGACGAGGGAAAAGCCTTTGTATCCAAGTGGTTGAGCATCTTTCCTGCCCTGCTCCTATCTCCAGGGCTCCCGTGTACACCTGGGCAGAGACTACAGAGCATCCCAATGGGAGAGCATCCCTGTACGTGCTCTGCTCACTGCTCGGCGCTGGCATCTTGGATGGGGACAAGTGGGGCTCCTATGGGCAGGACCAGATGCTGCCACAAGGTGCCAGGCTGAGCACTTGGCCATGGCAAGGCCACACAAGCCGGAGAAGAGCCTGATTCACACCTTGGTTTGATGAAGCCATCTCCTGTGGAGGGTCTGAGACACAGACTTGCTGCTCCGATGGAAGGATGCGGGCGAACACTGTCACCCACCATGGTCCAACGTGCCAGGACTGGAGGTGCCTGGTTCCAGCCCTGTGGTGCTCACTGTTCCAGGGCTGCAGTGAGTTTGCTCTATGGGCTTGTACAACCACCTCAACAGCCCCAAAATCAGCCATGAAAGCACATAGAGCTGGCCTCAACCATGTGTTAAGCACCTGACAAGGCTTTGCTCCATATGAAGGCTTTTAACAGCCCAGCCCGATGTGATGTGGGTCAATAAGCAGCTAAACAAGGCTGGGAAGCCAACGTGCCAGAGCAGTGCTTTAGCTCTGCTTGGTGAGGCAGGACATGGGCTCTTTACAGATGGCAACTTGCAATTCAGCCCAGGATAAAGCAGCACAGGCTTCCTCTAGGAAGACAACCTCATGTGCTGCATCTAGTGCTACCAGCTCCCTCAGCTCACTTAGTTCGCATCCGTTTCTGGGCCTCAGGGTGCTGAATTGTAGGCTCTTTGAATGCAGAAGCTATCAGGACTGAGAAGGTCTGAAGCACAAACTGGTTTTGAGATCTTTATTTCAGGAAAAAAAAAAAGATTAAAGAATTAAAATAGGAGCTGCCCTGCTGACAAGAAGAGTTTGAATTCAAGAAGCTGATAAAAAAGGAGCATTATATGCATTGAGCACTGTGCATTTTCAGTCAATATCGGCTCTACTTTCTACTCTACTTTCCTTTGACTAGGAAAAGGGAGTTTCACATGCGCACAGACCCTGGGATACACGGGACTCAATGAGAGGAAGGGAGTAACAGCAATAAAAGAGAGTGCTGGGCTTGATCTAACAGAGGCAAGGAAGTGATCTTACAGCTCGGGCCCCCAAAACACCAACTCCAACCACCAGCGAGACGGGAGGCAAAGACACGTGGCTGGGGCGGGATCGATGGTGCGCTGGAGCATCTGCAGCTCCCTATCCACAACCACTGCAGCCACCAAAGCTCCACCAGGCTCCGGCATCGCCTACATTCAGGATACGGCAGAGTCACAGGGCAGGAGAATCACTTCTTGCATCCTTCTCCAGCGGGATGTCAGTGTTTGTACCTCCAGGCTGCGTACGCCGGCACGGACCTGCGCTCCCCGACAGCTTCCCCCAGGCTTTCCCCCCCTTGTAGGTGCAAGTAATGCAATCGAGATCCAATGGTTAGATTAGGCTCCTGGCGTGCTCTGAGCACTGGGTCTCTTGACAGCAGTAAGGGCTGGGTATGGCTGATACCACCACCCAGGCCCTGCTTGCATACCAAAACGGTTGGTACGACAGAGCTAGCTTATTAACAGGCTACTGAGCCTTAATACTGACACTTAGTGTAATGGTTTACAGTAAAGGAAGGATTCCCCTACAAAGCGCTGAAGAGAGGAGGGGGAAAACCACCCCACTCCGATCCCTTCCTCTCCCTCTCAAGAGTCTCTGGAGCATCTCACAAGCAAGGGAAAGGAGCCGGGGAGGCAAAGGGGTGGCACCACCACCGCGGCGCCGGGTCCCATCGGGGGCATCGAGACGAACGACAGCAAAAGGACAGTCGTAAGGAAGGAGAGACAAACGGTGCTGGTGCTGTGCTGCCTCAAGCTGGGAGGTGCGCGTGGTCAAGCGGAGCGGGGAGAACTAGGCATTCTTCAAGTCCCTGGATTCAAAAAGCTTCAGGCGTTCTTGCACAGTCAGGCCTTCCTTCAGACTCTGGGAGAGACAGAAAACACACGGCGTTGGGACACGGGTGCTGGGGACGGGGCACATGGAAAGGGTGCGATGCGCAGGCAAAGGAGATGTGGGCAGCAGGAGAATGGCCTCGTAGTGGAGGGATTAGTGGGACATGCTAAGAGAGAACACACGGTTATGGAGGGTGGTTACTGGTGAGGAGCGCCTAGAGAGAGGGTGAGATTGCGGATGAACCAGGCGATGAGGGACATGCTGCAAGTGGGATTAGCTCCACATGGAAATGACCCGGAGCCTGCAGTGCAGTGGTGATGGGGGTGATTTCAATGGAGACCCGGGCAGGTCAGCTCGGATCTGCTATGTTAAAGCACTGTGCTGCTGAGCAGGAGCTGCAGGCTGGTCCTCCCTGCACCTCTGCAGCACCGACTGGATGTGCATCCATGTGGGACACTCCTGGCTCCAGTCAATGTGTGGGCTTTGCTCAAGCAGTCCTGTTACTGCAGTTTTGGTGCTAGCGACAATCCCACTCTTTCTCTAAGCCCATCTGGGAGCTCTCCCAAGCCAAAGCTGCCTCTACTGCACAAGGTTAGACAGAGGACTCGCTAAATGCTTGCTTCAGGTCTAGCAGGATGTGACGGCTGATCCAATTCGGATGCAGCATCCAGACTGCAAGGCACAACACTCGGATAAGACACCAGAGAAACCCTCAGCCAACTCAAGCAGCAAACTGCTTAACCCCTGTACAACAGCTTTAACCTGAAACCAGCCTGAGGAGATGCACAAACCTCACATCGACCTTCACTCCATCCTCCAGCCCCAAAGCTGTGATTTAGGCTGGATCATGATGTGCTTTAGAGACCAAGTCATGGCAGGTTCAGAAGGCACTGACCTGAATGCAAAGCCCCTTCTATTAACAGGCAACTGGCCCCCCTTTTGCTTGTACTTCATAGCACAGGATGACATAAGGCTTTTGGGCTGTCTTTAATGTGTATTTATCAAGGCAGGAATCCACGATGAACTTGCCCTGAGGCTGTGCAGATTCCCATGGTTACTGTACTGCTTTACACGGTTCTCCTCCCACAGCCCAACAGATACAGAACAAAGCAGCACGGAAATGAAAGCACTAAAATGGGTTGACTTCCCAAACGCTGTGTGCTCTCTTTTCAAAGGGCAGCAGAGTCTCTTGGGATGTGAGTATCTGAACACACACTTCCTAAAGGAAGTTTACTTTGGGCCTCTTTAAATGGGCAGCAACCCATGGATTCCAGTTTGTGCATCTGATGTCTCATGAGATGGAAGGAGGCAACAGAAACCATCAGACTGTGCTGCCTGATGGTACAAATTCCAGCAAATCCACCCCATAAGCAGCCTCACAACCCGTTCAAGTTGCTCATGAGGGGAGCCTGATGAAGGGAGACTAATGTAGGATGAAATCTGGGATAAAGGGATCCTCCATCAGACTTCCTGGGGCTTTCCAGGGAGCCGGGGAGCTCCCCTCTCTTCTCTAACCTCCCTCTGCAGATGCTTTAACCTCAGTCTTTACCATGGACCAGTAAATCAACTATTGCTCCAGTTACCCAAGGGTCATTAGGATCTGCCTCATAGCTCCCTCCTTTTGCTGGATGAGCTCGGAAGCCCCAGGCCAGCGGGATGGAGGTGCAATGCCAAGGGATGGAGAACAGCGGGGTAGACACCAAGGAGCTGCAGGAAGCCTGGAGAGTAGGAGGAGGAGGTTACTGGGCAAGGAAGACTTTTGCTCAGGCACAGATCAACCTAAAGAAGCAGCAGCTACAGGTAAAGGAAATTTAGGGCAGCCCAGGACATCCCCTCTGCAGCTGAGACCGGGGCCACCACTTTACATGCGCCAGGCTTATGTGGGAAATGCATTTACAGGCATCCCCAACCCGCTCCTCATCCTGGCTAACAGCAGAAAGGCTGTTTTCCTGCAGGACCCGGATGCTGCTGAAGTTTAGTCTGAGGCATGCAGAGTCGTCCAAGCATGCACACTCAGTGTCCCACACTCCCAACACAGCCAACAGGAACCGTGTCCAAATCCCCTCTGTGATCGTTGGATGTGTTGGCGAGGGTGGGAGGAGCAGGAAGACAAGAAAGCCGTATTCCCCATGGAAAAGAACTGCATTTCATACGGATCTTGGGTACACTGACTGCTCCCCTTCCCCCTCCCCCAGGAATTAGCCATAAATAAACCACAGTCAGTAAGAGCAGAAGGGCTCTGGTTTGCCATGTGCATGCAAAAGTGGCCGCTCCAGTGGTGGTGGGTCTTGGTGGGTGCCGGTCTGTTTACCTACGTGGCAGGGAACCTGGACTCGGGTTCATTTCAGTTATCCCATGAGACCTGCTCAATAACGGACTGTTGAAGGAAGAGGCAAAATAAAGAGAAACAAAAACAGAACAAGAAGCTCATCAATCCTGAATGCATTGGTGCGGCCCCAGCCCCCCAGCGATGCGAGCAGGCAGAGCCCATGCTTGCTCTCCTCTCCTCCTTCCCCACCAAGCAACACACAATATGGGGACCACTCCATATGTGGGCTGAGTGGAAGTGGTAAAGGGAAACCCAACATCAGACCTGGCCCAGCAGGTCTGGGCTGCCCTGAAATGCACAAGGATGCTCTCTGCATTTACTCAGTGCAGCACAGACTGTTTCCCTTGCATGGGCACTGAGCTAGAAGCCTTCTGCTTGCCTGGCTTCTTGCTCCACACAAGGTCCCAAACACTTCAAACATCAGCATGAGCCACCAGGTAGCCAGTGGTGAAGGCAAAGCAGGCTTTGCCCATGCTGATCTTCCTTCAACTGACCTATGGTTAACGATGACTTGTGAGCAGCTTTGTTTGCCCTTTTTATCCCTGTGGTCCCAAAGCAACAGCCAGTGTGGAACATGATGTGACTGTGGCTGTCAGCAGGCCAAGCAGGAGAGCTTGGCACAGCACCACTGGGCTTTGGGACCCACAGCCAGAGAAACACAGGGCCATCTGCACTGTGTTAACACACAAGCAAAGTGTGTGTTAAATACACCCAGGACTAAGGCATCGTTGTTCCATTTAAGACCAAAAACCTTGCAGTGATGAACACTAAAGCCTAGAATGATGTGCGTGTTTCCACCTAAATTTCAACTGAAAACAGGGAGCAAGTACTGGGAGAGTCCTCCTGTGAAAGACCAAAGAACAGGGTGAACTTCATCCTTTCTTTCAAGTGGGGAGCAGCTTCACACCTCCATCTCAGCAGGGTCAGGACTGGGTATGGGCACCACGGGGGGAACAGGCCCTGCCTGGCTGCTCGGCTGGCCATTCTGCAGTCAAAAGCTCACTTTTCTTTCCAGTGACTACCACCAGTGACTGAGACATTCCCAGTTTTCTTCCCCCATCATTCCTTCCCACCTAGGACCCCCACTGGAAAGCAATACTGGGTATTCCCATCACATGGGGCAGGAAATCTGTGCTCACCTTTGACCTGATATTCCTTAGTTGCCGGCTAACACTGGATCTGTCTTTCTTCAAGAAATCAGGGTTGCTTTTTGATTTCATGATATCTGGGAAGAAGCAGGAGAAATAGTGTTAATGTGGTGCCTACTGCACCCCTGCAAGGAGCGGGGCTGGGGCTCTTCTGCCCTTCCATCCCAGGCAAGTGCCCTGCTGTGCCCAACTCAAAGCAATGTTGCTGTATGGTCACAGGGGACTCCCAGTGTCTCCACTCCCCTGTACCATGAGGTTTTCCCAATGCAAAGTGCCAGAAGGCTTTCAAATCCCATCAACTTCCCATCTGTGGGCTGGAAGGAAGAACTGCCACAGGAGGGCAGCTCCACTGCAAGGAGTGGAGGTGGGAAGCAGCATGAAACAGCAAAAAAGCCCCGTGGCAAGTCCTATACTCAGACCCATAACTGCACAAGGGCTCGCATGCCAGGATGCATATGTGAGCTCAGGAAACCCGTGATTCCATAGAGCTGCTGGAGGAGCACTGACCATATCCCGATACAGTGGTGTTCACAGGGGATTTCTCTCCCTGAGCTTCTGTGGCTGCTTTCAGCTGCTCTTTCAACCTGCTGATATCACAGTCTGCCTTGGCCTTCACGATGCTCAGCTCTGTGTAGATGTCTTTGTACTTGTCGCTGGCGTATTTCTTATCCTGGCAAAGGAAGAAGAACAACCCAGTGGAGTCAGACACACAGTTGGAGCCGAGGAGGTTGTGAATGCACTGAAGAGGAGCTTGGCAAATGCCCACGGAAGAAGAGCCGGCACCAGGGAGAAATGCTTGGCTGGGGCTATGCACGTATTTCATACACAGCCTAAAGCTGCCTCTAACAGTGGGACAGGGCTTGGGAGAGGCACAAAGCTCTTCCAGTGGTGAGTGTGGAATCATGGAACGGTTAGGGTTGGAAGGGGCCTTAAAGACCCTAAAAGACCTCAAAGGGGAAGAGCATACAGCACTGCCCATGCATACAGCCCCTGCATTACAGGATTACTTGCTGTGGGTTTTAATTTCAGCAAAGACACAGAAATCCAGCAGAGTTCCCAGAAATGGCCTTGGCACAGAGGCCATCCAGAGCAAACCAGACCCAGTGCTGGGAGGCTGGGCAGATCCCTAACACTGACTATTTTTACCATTTAAATCTGATGTGACAGGAATAGGGAAAAAGCACTGAAGGGATGTTTCCCAAATGGTCTCCCTTGTGGGGGTAAGTCCTAAACTGACGTGGTTGTGGAGTGCTTTAGTGATGACACCAAATGGGTGTCATCAGCTCCATGCAGGGGAAAAATTAACTATTGCTCCAAAGCTGGGTATAAGTGAGCTGAAATCTGAGCACACACACACACACAGGAGCAGAGCACATAAGAGGATTTGCAGAACCATCCCTGGCATTACCCTCAGTGCTGTCTGCAGCTCGTCTTTGAGGGAGCTGATCTCCTGCTTCAGGTACTGGATTTCTGACTCTTTGACCCGCAGCAGGACCTGTGGGAACAAAAGCAGCACATGTGCACACCCGGGAGATGCAGCACGATCCCGAGATGCTCTCCCACTGTGCCCGGTGACACAGGGACACAACCTGCTCCATATGGTTCACCCATCTGGTTCAACGGGAGAATTAGCCCTGGGTCTCTTGGGAACTTGCCCAAGCTCCCTGCACACCCCTTGTTTTCTGTGCCCACTGCTTTGTATGGATGGATCCCAGGGGACAAACAGGGGGTGTGTGAGAAGGGAACATCACGACTCCATAATCCCCTGGCCCCACTGCACCCCACGATGCACAGCACTGAGCAGCCACACAGACCCGCTGTGTGGAAGGATGCAGCATGCTCCTGGTGGTCCAAAGTCACTTGCGCTGCCCCTTGGGCACAGCAGAGCTCACTCACCTCCAGCTCGTAGGCATCCTTGCCCTGTGTAAGAGGCGACCCAGCAGCCTCTCCCCCGCCCTCCCCGGTCAGCAGGGTCCTCAATCGCGTGATCTCCGCAGCCAGGCGGTTATTCAGCTCCTGGGAAGAGGAGGAGAACCACGGGAATTCTTGGAGCCCACCGTGCTGCCCATTGGGCTGTCAGCCCCTGCCCGGGGCACGGTGGGGATCTCACCTGGTTGTGGGCATTGAGCTCCTGGTTCTCGCGCTGGCACTGGCGGAGGGCCTGCCTCTCAGCCTCCAGCGCCTGCGCCAGGTGAGCGTTCTCCAAGCACTTCTGGGAGTACTGCTCCGAAAGCACCTCCAGCTCCCGCTGCACCGACTGCAGCTCCTCCCTGTGGAACACACACGGGTAGTGCCCTCCCTCTGCCGCCAGCACCCCGGGACAACACAGTTGGGATCTAAGCACTGAGGAGCACTTGCATGTTCCCTTTGGGAAAAGCCTCAAGCCCAGAGTGAGAGAACTCTTCCCTCTTGAGGCACGGTGGTGCTTGGGCACCAAAGGGGATGGGAGGTCTCTCTCTAGGGGGTTAAATGGCAGAACTTCCTCAGAACTTCCTCAGAACTTCCAAAACTAAGCTGAGATCTATCAAGCTGAACTGAAAGAGGGGAGATTTACATTAGGTATTAGGAAGAAGTTCTTCCCTGGGAGGGTGCTGAGGCGCTGGCACAGGGTGCCCAGAGAAGCTGTGGCTGCCCCATCCCTGGCAGTGTTCAAGGGCAGGTTGGACACAGGGGCTTGGAGCAACCTGCTCTAGTGGAAGGTGTCCCTGCCCGGGGCAGGGGTTGGCGCTGGGGGAGGTTTAAGCTCCCCTCCAACACAAACCATTTTATGATTCTAAGCTTGCTCTGGGCACTTGTGACCGGTGTATTTGTGCACCTACACATCTTACATAGATGCATCAAGGCTAATAAAGCCACGTGGCTGTTCTGCTCAGCTCCCACATGGGGATAAGCCAAAAATCAAAGGGGAAAAAGGGGTGTTCCACATGTGTGGTCTCCTTGCAAGACACGGTGACAGAAGGATGATGATGATGGTCTTACAGGTATTGCCTTCGGAGGGCCTCGATGTCGGCATTGACGCTGCTGATCTGGGAGCGCTGGGACTTCTCCAGCTCCCGCTCCAGCTCCTCCCGATGCGCGTTCTTCATGGCTTCGATGGCTGTTTGGAAGAGCACAGCATCAGCACCCACCACAGCATCAGCACCCAATACTACTCCACCCAAGGGCGTTCTGTTTGAGCTTTCGTTTGGTTTTTAAAGGAATAAACCCCAAGTCAACCCAGTGAACCTCCCACTGCTTCACAGCCCCTTCAGTCTGTGCCCTGGCTGCAAAGCAGCAAAGGAGCTTCTGCAAATTTTAATGAAGTCCAAACAATTGTCCTATTTACACGTTTTGCTGGATTGTGGGACTCCTAATGCAGAGTGCTGGACTCCAGGGCTTTAAAACTCCCTGGGGCACTGAAGAATGAGTTCAGTGTGGTATTGGCCATAAATTAACCACGGGAATGACCAGTGCCAGAGATGGAACAGAAAACAGATCAGACCACATACAGCCAGGGAGAGGGGTACCAAGACTGGAGAAGAACCACGAGATGGGCCTCCATCCAAAACATCTCTCCCACCAGCCCTTTCCCATCTCTCTGTGATCCCCACCCGTCCCACGCTCTGCTCCTCTATACTGGAGCAAACACCACCCCTTTGTCCCCATCAACACGGAGCTGCCCCATCAGAGGGGAGCCTGTGGCATGTCCCCACACCTGAAATGGTGGCAGCCGTCTCCTCTGCCAGCAGGCGGTCCTTCTCCTCCCGCAGCTTCTCCAGCTCCCGCTGGTGCTGCCGCTGCAGGTCCTCAATCTTCTTCTGGTGTGTCTCCTCCATGGCTGCGAAGCCCCTTTCACATGTTGCCTGCAAAAGGGACGAGGGGAAGGGGTTGGCCTGTGCTGGGCTGGTGTCACAGTGGTGGTGAGACCACCGGGAGCTGCACACCAGGGGACAGGTCAGCACCCATGTGCTATCACTGCGATGTTCTCCCTCCCCAACCATGGAGGAGATGTCTGAGGATGAACCTCGCAAGGTCAGGGCTTGTCCTGCAGTCACTAGACCCTAGTGTGCTCCTTCTGCTCTCTTCTGCAATGCCTGATTTCACACAGCCACCTCTGGGCTGGACAGCAGGTGACTCCTGACAGCAACAGGACCTTAATTCCCAACTGAGCATTGCTTCGAATGCTGCACAGGCAATTATTTGCTAATTGAATTAAGAAGAGTGAACTTAGGCCAGGGCATGGAAGCAGAGTTCTAGGGATTCAGGAGTCACCAGGGGTGAGATCCTGCATGGTCCTTCTGCCCTAGTTCCCTGTTTCCAGCCTTCCAGCCACCACCACTGAGGGCTTTGGGATCCTGCATGGATGCATGGCTGCAGGACAGAGGCAGGGCAGCAAAGCCACAGGAAGGCTTCAGCTGTGAGCTGGGAAGGGGCACAGGCTGGGGACATGGTCCACGAGCCCCATCAGACAGTTGGGGGCAAACTGATGCTGAGCACTGCGCTGGGCTTGTCCCCCTCTTCATGCTCCAGGCTGGCTTTATTTCCTGATTTCTATGGATTTCTTCTTGATTCACATTTGTGTTTCCCAGGGGAAGCAAGAACTGTCACCTTGGGACTCCATGGGAAATTTAAGGGGGACAAATTCACCTCCCTCATGACAAAAGTGCTCATGACAGTCTCACACCACTGTCTACACTAATATACCCTGCTCAGAATCACTTTTTGTCTAATGCTCTGTAACCTGTGCCATCCTCATTCCCCATTTTCAGCTCTGGGGCTTTTTTCCCTCACCTTTAAGTTTCAATCCCGAGGCATTCTTCACTTTCTCAGCCTTATTTGGTTTTGAAACTTATAACTCAGCGCCAGAACCTGTCTGGACTTGTCTTCAAGTGGCATGAAGGAGCCTTGCAGGGTTCTCCATCACACCTCTCATGTTGGAGGAAAACAGTGAATGCTCCTCCATAGGTCTGGCTGTATCCAGGTTCATTATTGAATGTATTGTAAATGCATTGCTATAAATCCAGGACGTTTGAACATGTACAACCCAGTAACCTCGTGTTACTGGTGGTACATTCTCCATCAGGTTCAAATGAGAAGAATCAAGCACATCTAAGCCTGTACTGGACAGTTATGCCATTGCTGGTTAGCTTTCTAACCAAAGGAAGTTCTTATTTTGCTGGCTATCCCTCTGTTTCCTACCAAGGTGCCCAGAGAAGCTGGCTTTGCTCCCTCCCGGACCCCTGGGAGGGTGCATTTTGCCTTCTTCCAAAGCAAGAACATCCCCTGGTACCAGCACCCTGTTTGGTGCCTGGCTCACAGGACAAGGTTACCCCTGTGTCCTGCTGACCTGGGCAGGGGGTTCAAGAAGGACTTTCCATTCCTAAGGCTTAAGATGGAGGAGACAGCACTGAGTGAGCACCACTGCTTCACTCTGCTCTCCCCAGTTCTCCCTCCCATGGATGCCCAATTCACATGATGGGATGCAGCAGAACTACTGCTCTCCCCAGGCTAAAGTCAGCTTTTAGCTGGAGCTGAGCCACGCTTAACTAACCCCAGCCCAGATGTGCACTGAGGGTCTCACGGCTGGAGCTGAGCCACGCTTAACCCCCAGCCCAGATGTGCACTGAGGGTTTCATGGCTGGAGCTGAGCCACGCTTAACCCCCAGCCCAGATGTGCACTGAGGGTCTCATGGATGGAGCCGAGCCACGCTTAACCCCCAGCCCAGATGTGCACTGAGGACCTCATGGGTGGAAGGAAGCTCTCCTGTACTTTTGCTCACTCTGAAGAATGACTGCTCCATGAAAGCCTCACCAGTACGGCCTCTGCACACAGCCTGTATCACTGCCCTTTCAACCTGGTGCTGCCAAGAGTCCTCTGCTACCCTAAACCCACTTCCCAACTGGAATGTTCTCCGATCAAAAGCGAAACACCAAAGCCAAGAGATTATTTTAGATGCTGTACTATCTCAGGCTACTTTTACAGCCAGTGAGTACAGGAGGAGCAATCTCAACGATGGCATTTCATTGCCAATGGGTTTCTTTGCACCTCACCTGGGTTTCCCATAACTGTGCACTGTTTGTTGTGTAAAGACTTGCTGGTGTACACCACCAGGGTGGTTCTCCTCACAGCCTCGTGCTTTGCTACAGAATTTGGCATCTGCTTGCAGCTACTTTCCCCAGGAACATATGTTCTGAGAGCATTAAGTTTCCATTTCATCCTGTGTTTTTGAGGGCAGCAGAGATAGACTGGAGATTTGATCAGATTGAGAAAGACAGAGTTGAGGAATGCTTTTAAGGGGAAGTCATGAATAAAATGTGCATCTCAGGTATGAGGAGAAACACTATGGTCTTCATAATGAAGGAGAGTGTGATGTTATCAAGCTACTTTGACACTCTCCCTCTACATGCAGACACCACCTCCAATAATCAACCCTCCCACTGAGACTAAGCCTTCAGCAATGCATTTAGAATACCCAAGCATGGAGAACAGGCGAATACCATGCTTTAGAGAGACCCTTCTAACACTTCAGGGCTTGCTTCAGCATGCTAGCTCTTTAGGGGGATACCCTTTGGTTCAACAAGCAAACCCCAGGATCAATGCCCCCTCCCAGTCACTCAGCAGCAGAAAAAGTGTTAAACATGTCAAAACCTTTAAGTTTTCAAAGTCTTTCTGGTATTTCTCCCTCAAGGTGGAGGCGTTCCCTTCTAAATGCTTGTTCTCCAGCTCATCCCTCATGACGTTCATCTGGGCCTCCAGCTCCTGGATGCGTTCCCGCAGACCATGCATGGAGTCCAGGTCACCCCCAGGGTCCTGCCCGGTGCCACCAGCCTCAGTGGCCACCCAGGCATCCCCATCACCCGGGTCCATGGCAGGGGACACCTCGGGGTGCTGCCTCTGGTACTCGTCCAGGGTCTCCTGCAGGCGCTGCAGGTTCTGGCTGTAGTGCTCCTGCAGCGCCTGCAGCTCCTCGCCGTGGATGACCTGCAGCTCCTTGATCTTGGCCTGGAACTTGTCCTCCAGCATCTGCATCTGCTCTAGGTGGTACTGCTCCATGTTCTGCTTGTCACGGACAATGGCATCCAGCTGGCTGAGCCCTTCTGTCCGCTCAGCCTTCAGAGCATCCTCTGTCCTGTTCAGCTGCTCTATCACGTTTCGGATCTCCTCTTCATACCGTCCCTGTAACTCACTCAAGCTCTTGCTGTGTTTATGCTCTTCTTCCTCCAGGAGCCTCCTCTGACTGTCAAGCTGGGCCACCTTTGCTTTGAGATCAGCATTTTCCCTTTCGAGCATGGCAATCACCTCGCTGTACTCACCCTGCTGCTTCCTAAGCAAGTCTTCATACTCATCCCGAAGGAGAGAGACCGTCTTCACGCGCTCTTGGCAGAGAGCATCCATGCTCTGCAAGGACTCCTTGTAGGACTTCATCTCTCTTTCATACTCCAACCGCATTTTGCAAGCAGCATAACAAACCTGAGCCTGAACAATTGCATCGTGGACTAACAAAGAGGAATACCTTTCAAGGTCTCCCATGCACGAATGATACGAAAGACTCTGAGATATCTTCAGGAGCTTCTGACAGTCTCTCATTGCCTCCTCAGGAGGCAGAGAGAGTAAGGCAACAGATATCTCCTTCAGAACATTAGCTTTGTCCTTTAGTTGTTGGGCAAGATCTTCCTGAATGGAAACAAGAGCTCCACTACTACAGTCCTGCAGGCTGCCCATCTGCTCCACCTTGGCTAATTCCTGACATGGTCCCATTTGGAGACGGCTCCCATCCCAGGAGATCTGGGTTCTTTCTGAAGCATCTTTCTGAATCTCAAGTGCTTCAGAAATCTGGTGCATAACTCGGTCAAAATCAGGAGTCCTGTACGCTTTGATGATCTCCTCCAACATGCACTTATGCTGCTGGAGAGCTGTTTTGGTATTATGGAGGTCTTCTTCAATGGTTTTTAATCTCTGATGAAAAGATTCTCTCATTTTCTGTGCAACAAAGCCAAGTTCTGCCTTGACCAATGTAGCATCTGCTACAGCACTGAGGAAACACGGAGAAAAGGCCAAACCTGTTGTTTCTGGTTTGCCCTCGGCTTCTCCTTCTCTGGTGCTCAAGTGCACTCTCAGCTCCTCCACTTGGCCCCAGAACTCCCCTTCCAGCAGCAGCTTCTTAGATAGGACACTGGCCAAACTGATGGCTGTATGAGAAACATTCGCTGGCTCCAACACCACCACTTCAGCTGTTCCCTGGATCTCTCTCAGAAGCTGAGATATCTCAGAGCTTGCGTTTTTCAAAGACTCTGCTATTTGGTTGATGAGAGAGGCCTCAAATGCCACTCTCTCTGAGAGCCACCTCAGCTGGCCCATGTCAAACACTTCCACTCGCTGCTCCTTGGAGACATGCTCCTCTTCTCCCAAATAACCTCCTTCTGGAGCAGGGCTATCCGTGATAAGCCTTTCACTCTGCTGATACTCCGATGGCAGCCCTCTCAAGGCTTGGATTGCATTTGATAAGGTTGTTTCCATGCTGGAGAGAGTAACAAGGAACAAATCACCTTCTTTCTCCTTGTCTGATGTGGGTAAAGATCTCAGTTGCTCCCTGCACTTCTCTAAGCAAGTCAGGGCTTGATCATTCCTCATTTGGAAACCTCCCAGCTCGCTAACGTGGCTTTCTATGAGCTTGAACTTCTCCTGCCTCTCGCTCTCGAGCTGCGAGATCAAAGCACTGACTTGGGATAAGCTGGTCTGAAGCTGTTCCCGCAGCTGGGTCTCGGTGCTGGCCCACTGATGGTGGAGGGCAATGAGTGTCTCCTGGTTATGGCCGTGCTGGCTCTCAAGCTTCATCGTTACATCTTTAAGCTTTTCCTCTGTGATATAAAGTTTGGTTTCCAGGGAATGGATGATTGAGAGATAGGTCTCAGAGTCACTTGTCCCCGATGATGGGTAACCAAGAGTTGGCTCTGATGACATGCTTTCTTCAGACAGTGATCTGTCCTGGCTTGTGTCTGAAGAGGTGCTGCTTGTCCAGTTCTTCTCTGATCCATCTGGATGGATGTATTTCTGGCACTGGATGCTTGAGAAACGGATTCTTTGCCTCTTGGCCCCCATGATTCCTAGATCGGGCTTTGTTAAGGCTTTCTGAACCAGCTCTTGGTCCTGGAGCTCTACAGCTTTGGATGGGGAGCCAAATTCCTCTGTTTGCCTCTGCCTGGTCTCAAGAACCTCATCCTCCTCCTCCTTCAGTGCGTAAGTCAGAGCTGGGAGGACATCCTGAGTTTGCAGAGGCTGCCCTAGCTGGGATGGATGACTTTCATCAGCCTCGAGATTGTGGCCAAGCTCTTCTCCCTCCTCAGCACATGGACCTGTGCCTGCACTAGCCAATTTCTTTAAAGTCTCCTCCTTGGCCTTTAGCTTTACTTTAGTCTCCTCCAAGCTGCTATCTAAAGCAACCATTTTAGCCAAAGCCTCACTGAGGTCTTGGTCTTTCTTCTCCACAATTCTCAAGTGCATTTCCTTAACGTGTCTCAGCTCTTCTTCTTTCTCCTTCAGCACCTCCTGCACACCCTGGAACTGATCAGACACCTCCTCAAACGACTGCTCCAGGTTGTGGTAGTTGGTCTCTTCCATTTTCAGCTTTGCTTGCAGCTTTGCCACTTCATTATCCGACTCAGCAACCTGATTCATGAGCTCATGGAACCGACACTTGATCTGATCTCTTTCTCTTTCGAGCTCCTTGATATGCTCTGCCAGTTTCTGGATGCTGGCCTCCTTCATCAGTAGTTGCTCCTCCAACTGGTGGACCAGCTCGCTGCCTTCGAACTTGGCACTCAGCTTCTCCTTCTGCAGGATCTCCATTTGCTGCTCGCTATTCTGCAGCTGGATCTCGTACTCATTGGCTTTATCCTCCACCTCCTTCAGGCTCCGTATTAAAACCTGCTTCTCCCTCTCACAACTCTCCAGCAAAGCCTCATAATTCTTTTGCAGCTTCTCCTCCATGAGCATCCGCGCTTGCTCGCTGGTGTTCAGCTGCCTGCTCAGGTCCGCGATCCTGTCTTGGAGCCGCTGCACCTCCTTCTGATGGTCCCTTTGCAGCGCCTGCTGCATTTCCAGGTCCCGCAGCTCCTGGGTCTTCTCCAGGAGCAGAGCCTCCGCGTTCTTCAGCTTCTGCTCGCTGGCCTTCAGCTGGGAGCTGAGCGCGGCCTCACCGTGCTGCCACTCCTCCAACTGCTCTTTGGCTTTCTCCTTTTCGCTCCTCAGGTCGCTCTTGAGCTTGGCCAGGGTCTGCTCCTTGATGGAAAGCTCGGCCGCCGCGTTACTGAGCCTCGCCTGCAGGCTCTGAATCTCAGCTTCGTGGTGCCGGATCACGTCCTTGGCCTCGGCGTAGCTGCGCTTCAGCGACTGAATCTGCTGATTGATCAGCTCTTGGCGTTGGCATTGGGCTTCCAGCTCGCTTTGGAGGTCTTGGTTGACTTTGTGGAGCCTCTGCCAGGCACCTGATGGCGAGGCGGCCACCTCGGTCTTAAAAAGATTGATTAAATACTAGATTAGTAACACTCTTGGCTCTCCCTTCTGAGTGTCACACCTCTGGCCAGGCAGGCCATGGAAAAGCTCCTCGCAGTGATTTGGCTGCTACCCACATGCTCCAATTGGGATGATTTGTTCTCGGCATAATTTGTTTGGTTTGGTTTAACCTTTTTTGGTTTTTTGTTATTTTTGAATGAGCAACAACTGCTTTCCAGTAACAGAAAACATGGACCACAACATCAAAACAGCTGTACAGTAACAGGCTCAAAGGAAAACAAAATAACCCAACCAAAAATCAAACAGAACCAAAAAACACACGATGGAAAAGAAACACCAGCAGTAAAACAGACAGACAAGATAAAAACAGGGTGAGAAGAAGGAAGGATGATAACAGGTTGAGAAGTGCTTTCTGAGCATGTTTGTTCGGGTTGTTGTGGAACAAAAAGTGCACAGTTCAGGTAACACAGTCCTACCGACCCAAAGCAACAACAGAAAGTGAGGTGATAGCAATGACATCACATCCCACCCCAACGCAGGACAGCGGCGTGGCGATGTCATGTCTGTGCCTGCCAAACAGGACTTAGTGGCTGCTCATCGCATGACAGAGATGTTGTTATGTTAAAGGTTAAGACTAAGGAGGATCTAATTCCTCTACCTGCAAAAAACAAACCCAAAACCCAACAAAGGACAAAATAAAAGAGCCCGACAAGTGAAGGGGAGGGAAAAAGGTGTGATGAGAATGTAAACTGAAAGAAACCAACCTTTGTGAGACTCAAACCAAAGCAATGTAGCATGCAACGAGAAAACTCACAGAGAGAGAACTCATGCAAAAAGGCAACAGAAATGATGTATCTTGAAACAAAATACACAGACAGGAAGAGGTGAGAGAAGCACAGCGTGAAGCCTAGGAATTTGGCCTGCCTTTGCTGTACTCTGGTTGCTGGTAAGGAAAGCCCACAGATGTGACACTCAGTTATGTTAAGTTATATTTCATGCTTTACACCAAAAACATGCAAGAACAACCGCCCGGGACAGGTTAGTACGTGACCCTTCCCACCCACCACGACTGGAGCCTGGGGGCATCTCCAGTCTGTTTGTGAGGAGCAGGAGCTCCCACTGTTTCTCCCAGTAGGGGTGTCCCATCCCAAGGAAGCTGAGAGCAAGAGAGGGGTTACACGAGGCCGGAGAGGCTTCAGTGCACGGCACATGCATCAGGATGGGGATCTCAGTGGCTGCCTTATGAAATGTGCAGCATCTTTTATGTCAGGGCAGTGCTTGGGGGTCTATATGGGGCTGGTCTTGCTGCCAAAGAGGGGCTAGTCCCCCCCCAGCAGCTCAGGATGGCAGCAGTCAGGCTCCTCCATCATCCCTCCCCATCCCTCCCTCCCAAAGTTAGGCAGGATGGAGGTGGGGGCCACAATTCAGAGGGTCCATCCAAAAAGATGTTTGCCCACAGTGTGGGGCTGCAGAAACACCCCAGTGATTCCATTCCTCCACCCCAGCAGGGTTTGCTGGGGTTGCTCCCTTCTGCAACAGGACTTTAATCCCTCTGCTCCCAGGGAAGCACAAGGGAAATCCCTAGAACAATGAAAGTGGAGCAACCAAAAGCCTCCAGCCCTTCCAAAAACCCTCTCCAACTTCTAGGTCACAGCCTGGGCCACTTCTCACTGCAGTGATGATTTCTCAGCCTTCTTCTGAGCCTTCCCCCCTCCTTGTATCAAGGCACTACGGCCAACTTCAACTCAGCCAATCTGACGATGGATTCAGCATCCAGCTTTTAGCCCCATTCCCTGCTTTTTTCCAGGCTCCAGGCAAAGGAAGGCTGGATGCCTTTGCCCCAGGGAAGTGGGAGTTGGCTACTCTTCCAACACTGCCAATTGAAAATGGAACTCCTCCAAGCAAGCACTGTCAGCCTGGGGATTCCAGAAGAAAATGTATTAGTAACTCCTCCAAGGAGATCACTGGAAAGGAAGGAAAGATCCTCCTCTACCTGGGCTGGCTCCACTCCCTGTGCAACTCCTTCAGGGGAAATTCCTCCCATGGGAAATAAGGACACAAGATTCAGCATCAACACTGGGTTTGTTGCCACGGGAGCTCAGTGTGTGGCCACTTTGATTCAGAGCCAAATTGGCCAAGTAGATTTGAGCAGGCCAAAATGCTGCCCCTGCACGAAACAGGACTAGGGACCCATGAGAGCAGCCAGAAGCCGCCCTGCAGGCGCCATGGCTCCTCCGGGCACAGATGCTCCCAGAGGAAGGGCTGGGAAAAGTCCACTTTGTTTGGAGGAGGGGAGGAAAGGCTTCCCAAGAGACTCTCCTGTCTCTTTTGCCAGGACCTCCAAACACACTTCAGGGCTTTGCTGAGGAAAAGCATCTTGTAACGGAAGAAACCACCAAGACCCAAGACAACAGGTTGTCCTGGTGCAAATCCCACTCTGGCTGTAGGGAATGTGTCCAGGAGATACGCCTGCATGTGCTGTGTTTGCCCATGTAACCACCACACCAGCTCCACATCCAGGAGCACGCTTAGAAAGCCTTATGTGCACCCCACAGCCTGAGGGGAATACCTGGGGCATACAAGGAGGGGAACAGTGGTTGCATAGGCAGACACAAGATAGATCAGAGGTGGACTTTGCTGAGGTCCCACTTGCCTACCATGGCTGTGTACTGTTTTCCCTCTGGGATGCTAGCAGGCAATGCTATCTGCTGCCTGTTGCATCCCAGATCAAGGGTTTTGTTGAGCAGATGATTCTGTAAAGCTGCAGAATTAGCAGTATTTGCAAGATCAAACCTCTTAGAGCCCACTCAGTGGTTCACATCTCTGCGTCAACGAAGATGCAACCACGAACACCCCACACCGAAGCCCACCAGGGTCCCCCTCGGGCACACGCAGAGGAGGATGGTTTCTCTCTCCTCCCTGCTCCCCTACCTGCAACACGTAGCCCTCCCGGGCGCTCTGCTCCCGGCCCAGTGCCACTTTCAGCTGGTCCTGCAGGTGCCGGTTCTGCTCCAGGAGCTCCAAGGCCTCTTTCTGCTTCTGCTCCAGCTGGAGGGACACAGAGACAGCGTCCAGGGGGTCGGTCATAAGGAGCAAGGGGCTCGGAGGGGACAGAGAACAGCACGAACGGGGCTTCTGATGGCACTGCTGCTTTGCTCTGCTCTGGGATCTGTGTTTCATTTTGCCAGGCAAAATCCCTCCCCTCTGAAAGAACTAAGTTATGTATTAGCTTAGTTCCTTAAGCTCACTGCAGCAAAGGGTGAATGGCACCGGCTCGTGCCAGGCATGACCCTGGCAAATCCCTGCCCAGTTCAGATCAGTGATACTTCTGGTTACTCCACACCTGTACCCCTAATACACCTCAATCCCAACTAACAACAACCTCTGCTATCCCAGGCATGGATCTCTTCCAAGTGAGCTGAGTCTCCTCCTTTCTCTTCCTGAAATCTAAGATTGATGCAGGCTCCTCAAAAAGGGAACCTCTGTGGTGTGTGCTACAGCTGAAGCTAGTTTATAGTTTTGTAGACATAACCACAGACACAAATCTCTACAGCTGCAGAGGCACACAGAATTAGGAGCTTGATTTTAGGGTCTGGTTGATACACACCAGTTGTGCCCATCTCATCAGAGCCAGGCTGGCTAACCACCAACACGAGTACAGGCTGCATTGGCTGGGAGGGGGTAACAAAGTGCCACTCTTGGAAGAACAACCCTTTCTGCAGCCGTGGGAACGTGGAAGCTGCTGGCAGGGCTGAACGGGAATGGACACGGATCTGTGCCCCGCCAGCTCCCCAGGGGACCCTACAGCATTCCCACCCCTTGCCATTACAAAGCAGGAATAAAAGCAGCTTTTTTAAGCCTTGCTCAGGCTTCTTATAGTTACCACAGTGGCCTAAAGGCTGTTCCAGCACCCCACACACCCTCCTTTACCTCCTTCTCCAGCAGCGTGGTCAAGTGCTGCTTCGACAGCCCCTCATCCCGGTCCTCGGCATGGGCGAGGTGCAGCGGCGCGATGGGGATCTGCTTCTCCTCCCGCAGCGGGGTGGTCTCCACTTGGTGCCAGCGCTGCTCGATCTCCACGTGGACGTTCTGTGGTTTGATGTCTGCTGGGACAGGCAGGATCCGATCCACCTCCATCCTCAGCGCCTCTTCCGACCCTGCCCAATCCACGGCATCGATCATCTCGAAGCGCTTGCCGCGCCGCGTCCCGCCCCAGTGCTCCCGAGTCGGTGTCGGTGGCACCGGTGTCCCTGGAGAAGGCGGCAGAGCCGCTACTGGAGGAGTCTGTGGTGTTCGCGCGCTCCTGCACCAGGGCTTGCTGGATGGGGCGAAATTCAGCCCAGTCAAAGGTCTTGGACCGTCCTTCTCGCCGGCGCTCCCGGGCACGGCTCCGCTTCTGCTCCGGGTCCAGCTCGGCTTGTTCTGCATCTGGTTTCTCGCTCGGCTTTGGACCAGTCTCGAAGGAAGAGCTTGTTTTGCTTTTCTCTTCCGGCAGAGAGCTGTGAGGACACAGAGAGGGTGAAGGAAAGTGTCAGTGGGTGCTCGAGATAGCCGGGTGCTCCCACGCATGCCTCGAAGAGCTGGGTGGAAAGGGGCTGCTGGAAGCCCAAGCCAATGCCATGTGGGTGCCCCCCTGCCCCTCCATCTCTCATCGCCTCTCTGGTGCAGGAGCTGCTGCTGCCTTTCCCCGGGGTCACATTGGTGTGCAAAGCTTTGGTGCAAGCGGCCCCAGATGCTCTGGGCACCCCTTGGTCCCCAGACAGCAGCTGATCCCAACCTCACTCCTCCTCAGCAGCCACCCCAGGAATGGTGACCATGACCCAGCAGCAGCCCGTGGCCGAGGCAGCAATCCCAAACCATCCTGCCAGGCAGGGAAGAGGCTTCCCAATGGCTCAGCGCCCACCACCCTGGTTGCAGGGCTCCATGCACACACGCTGGTCAATGCAGCCATAGTCATGTACTTGCAGGGAGGATGCCACCAGTCCCACCAAAGTCAGTCTGGCTTCAGAGCTGCAGGGTGGAGAAGCACAGAGCAGCTCCCACAGGTCTTGGGTAACAGGGGGGAAGGTTTTCCTTGAGCTTGGCAAAGTCGGGGTATTAATGGGTTGAAAACTTCTCCATGCCACTATCTGCACTGAAGGCACAGATCTCCCCTGAGGAACCAGCCTGGAGGGCAGCACGGGGGCTGCACACTGCATGAGCAGTTGTCAGTGCAGCAAAGGAGAACGGGAGTTATTCAACAAATGCCCATTTCTCAAGCAAGGAATAATTTTGAGTGCTGAGGTGGTGGGTTGGGAGGGGAGATGTACTTGCCAAGCAGGGAGAAGTTAACAGGAGAAGGCAATACCGTTTCCAACCTATGGATAATCCATAATGGAGGATTAATTTATTAATACATGCCAGCCTTGTCACATGCAGATCAAAATCAAAACAGAAAACAGCAGTGTGCTAAGTTTGCAGAAGAAGCCATCCCGAAGGAGTGGCAGGCATGTGCTGAACCCTCTTTGCTATCAGAAGCCCCTGAGATGCCTCCTGAGGCACAGCCCTGCTGCTCAGGCTGACTCCTGCCTTTCCCTGCTTCCAGTACAACCACAGCCTCCCCTCAGGCTCCAGCCTCCAGCACAGCCTCAACAAGCTTTCCAGAAGGACACAATGGGAAGAGCTGGAAAGCAGCTCCTCAGGCCCTTTGCTGCAGGCAAATCACTGCTACCAGGGCTCTGACCCATGGGACCACATGCACCGAGACTGCGGTGACCAGGAGGGAGCAGCACAGCTTCTCCTCCAGCCTTGGAAACACACGCCAGCAGCCAACAACCTCACGTATGTGCATACACCCAAAACAAAGGATGGAGCAGAAGAGATGACTCCGCATGGGTCTGGGGCTAGTATCTTCCGATGCACTTTCATCCACGATCAAACCACAGGCTCAGGAGAGCTGGGCTGCAAGACACTGGCAGCTACAGGCTAAAAGCAGCTCAAGAGAGAATTCCTTCTTCAGCTCTGTCACTTGCAGTGAATAGAATAAACCCAAAAGGCACCGCAATGAAACCTGCTCGCTCCTCAACCATGAGGAGATACTGCACAATCCCAAAGCCAAGCACTCAATCTGGATTACAGCTGCATTTAAAATAAGTAAAACGGGATGAGATTGAGTCTTAAACTGCAGAACAGCACAAGGCAAAAATGGGGTTTTGGGGCCCCTTGGATGCTGTTGAGATGCTGCAATGGTGCTGCTCTAAATACCACATGGAAGAGTCTCGGCATTTCTAAAGGAGACACATCTCATGAGCTCATTTCTCCTCTGCTGCTTTCCAAAGGGCATGGGATGTGTGTCAGGGAGCAGGGATGGCCACGGGGGACTGAGTTAAGACACTCACAGGACAGACCCAAAGCTTCTCGTTTCATCTCCCGCAATTGCCCACGGCTATTAATTCTGCTCACACATCTCACATCTCCTCCATCCCAAATGAATTCACATCACGTGTTTGTGTGTGGGATCTTTGCCTTGAAACGGTATTTATAGGTCAAAATGAAAAGTTAGGGAGTCGAATATGGGTGGCTGTGGGAGCTGTGTGTGCAAGAAGCTGCAGGGAACTGGGAGAGCTCTGGGGAGCTCACCCTCACTGGGGAACCAGTGCCCCAGCACTGAAGCAGCCACCTTCTTGCTTGTGGGTATATTATATGTGTACAGTGATCATTAGCAGAGGGTAATCAGTGTCTCTGCAGACTGCAGGGCAGTGCTGAGGGCAGGGACCAGTGCAGCATCTGCCTCCCCGCTGAGGGCTGACACATGCAGCAATCTAAACAGTAATTAGTTGAGTAACGAGTGTGTTTGGCTCAATGGAGACATAGCAGCGGGTTAATGAGACACAGCACATGGCTGCAGGAGTGTATGGAGTCAGACCAGCCTTGGAAATGGGGTGAACACCATCATCCTCCCAGCACAGCCAAGTATGCAGGCTAATGTCCCTCTTGCACCCCAGCCACACTGTGCAGACATTTGCCACCTCTCCATCGTGAGCCTTTAGCAGTCTCCTTTGGCTTTCCAGCAGCCCTGTTCATAAGGTGGGCATGGATGTTAATGATGAGCCTGAAGCCAGGTGGGATGGGATGGGATATCCCACGCCATGGCAAGGGGCTTGTGATCAGGGACAGGTGAACACAGCCCTGCTCCACGAACAGCGCAGCCCTTCTGCTCACAGCAACATGACTAACTCACGCCAGACTCTATCCCATCCAAAACAGTGGAAAACAACAGAAGTGCACCTATAATTCCCTTTTCCCCAGCTCAGGATTGTGATTGATGGTCTATTAATGCAGTGTAACAAGTTCCTGCCCAACTGGTACCTGCGCTTGGACCCTCTCATGGGGGTAAGCCAAGCCAAACCACTTTGCATGGGCCTGGAGCAGATGCAAAGGCAGCAAGCACAGGACTACAGTGCTGCAGTAACCTGTTGAGCTCTATCTGGCTCTTTAAAGCAGAGAGATCCCCTCAAATTTCCTTGGTCTTCATCTTCATCTATAGTCACATCGGAAGATACCAGTGTGGGAAAATCAAGTGTCAAGACCATGTTGCTTCTTCCCTTCTCTCTGGCTTTTATTTAAGGAAAAAAAAAATGGGGAGGGAAAAAGGAAAGAAAACTAAATGGAAACTGCAGGACTTCCCATCCGAGGTGCAGGAAAGGAGCATGCAGTGAATCACGAGGTAATACAAACCACAGAACGTTAATACAGGAGAGAACACAGTTTTCCAACCTGGGCTTCAGCACGGATAGTTTCAAAGAGAAGTTTTTCCTGGGATTGCATGGAAATCAAACACACACAGGAATGAGGAGAGAGGCGGCTTCCCCGAGACCCCCGCGAGATCCACCAGAGCTCGGGCAGGGCTGGGAAACGGTGGCCGAGTGCCAAGCGGGATGGGGAAGGAGAGGCTGGAGCATCTCCGGGTCAACAGCACCGGGTGAGAAGAGCCATTCCATCAATGCAGGGACAAACCTGGCAAAAACCTGCTTGTTTCAGCTATGGTAAGGACAGGAGATGGAGTTAATGGTGCGGCCGTGTCCATGAAGCCTGGAAGAGGTGGCCCATACGAGTGTGGCTGGCACAGTTAGCTGTGAGGAGGTCAAACACCCTTTACCCGCAGCCACAAGCGCCCACAGAAGGTACTCTGTGAAGCGAGGGGGTCCCTTCCTCTGGCACTGATGGCAGGAGGAGACGTGAGCGTTACTAAGGGGAATGAGCTCTGGAAGATCAAAAGAGGAGGGAAGAGTTGCTGGCTGGAGTTTAAAACACATCAGAGCCAAACAGCTTCTAAATTGCTGCCGTGACCCGCGAAGGGGATGGGCAGCTCGTGCTGAACAGTAGCCAGAGGAAAGGGGGAACCCGGCACAACTGAATCCAAGTGGTTTCACAATACCTGGTAGGAATCCAGAGGAGCCTTGATATAGGAACAGTATTGCATATTCCTACGCACAAATTAAAGCCACATTTTCAACCCTCTTTGAAATGTGCACACGTTAAAAGAATAACTCAGCATATCAGCATCCCCACAAAGCGTATCCAAAATAAGCCCAGAGAGAGGGATGTGAGAAAGAGCCGCAGCTTCCAGGAACGGACAGGCTCAGAAAGAGGAAAGAAAAGGAATAAGGGAAGAGTTATTCCTGCACAGCAAACCGGACACCTGCAGGGGCTGCTGGACTCCCCCCTTTACCTTGTTACATCTGGAGCAGTGGTGGGGCGAACGTGCTTCATGATGGTCTGGATCCAGTTGCGGCGAATGCCCGTCGTCATGGCAGAGAGGGTGAACTCCCCTTCCTTCGTCTAGGGAGGGAGGAAAACAGGCTCAGAGCAGCTGATTGCACCCAGCAGCACCTTCCCATGCCCCCAGTACAGCCCTGCACCCAGCCCCAAGCCCCCAGTGCTGGGACACTGCTCGCTGGCTTCGCGGAGTTTGCATCCAGCCCCTCCAGCCCTGAACATGCTCACAGTGGGAATTAGGCCATAAATCCATGGAGCTATTTAGGGGTGCTGGGTGGCCTCTCTTATGTGTCTGGGGAGATGTTTCCTTTGCCACAGATGAGCATCCCCAAGCAGCAACACAGCATAAGCAGCCCCATTGCCTGTCCCACAGCCAGACTCTTCCTTCTTCCCATGTTTTCCTTACATGGATCTGGAAGCCGTAGTTTCGCTGCACCGGGTACTCAGTAACATCATAGCACGTGGATAAATCGATTTCTCCATCCAGGTCAGCTGCCTGGAGAGGGAAGAGGTAAAATCAGACCTACTGCTTTATGACCCCAAAACGCGGTGGGCTCACAGGGAAGAGGCTCTTGAGAAGCACAAAGCTCTGAAGAGCAATGCTCCAGCACCTTGGCATCTGGGAAGACAACCTGTACAGGCTTGGTTTGGGGGCACCTGGGTGCAGAGCAATGGGTTGAATGTTGATGGGGAAGGCACTTACCTCCTCAGCCACTGAATCCCGGTAGTATCTGAGGCTCTGGTCGGTCAGCACAAACCAGTGCTTCTTCCACTAGGAAACAACCAAGACAGGGCAGTTACACTCCTGCTCCTTCCACATTAGCAGAGCCCAGGCAGCTTGTCACAGTCACCCAGCAGAGACACCCTCATTTCCCCTCAACAGGCTGAATGGGAGGTAAGGAAATCCAGGGAAGGGGACTGCAAACAGCCAGTACACCCATGCTGGCATCAGTGCCTGTCTCTAAGGCTGTGACAGAGCAGCGCATCCCGTATCCCTCTGGGAATGGACAGGAGGAAGGCAGCAGTGGCAGAGGCATTTATTTATTCCTTGGCCTTGCCACTTCCCCGGTGCTCAAGAGGCCTTATCTGAGCCTCATTACTGACGCCAAGGAGGTTGCTGGGTCGCAGGGGAGCTGGTTGCTCCCAGTCTCGTGACTAATAGAGAATGGGAACATTAAAGCAGTGCTGCTATCCAAGCTGCCCCAGCTCCCTAGAAACCCAGGACATGATATCCCACTGTGTGGCTTTGAAACCTCCCCAGGACAGAGAATCAGATATTCCTGCTCCAAGACAAGCACCATTTGCACAAGGTTTGCACACAACCACTGCTGCCTGGCTCCAGAGTTATACAAATTCCCTGTCGCTGCTCTGCTCAAGCACCTACAACTGGTTTCTCCCATCTGGAGCATAGCCACCATCCACCCTGCAAGGACACTGGAGTTTTGTCAGTGCCAAGAGCAGCCCCATGTGCAGCCGGCACCACCAGGACATCCACGTGAGTGCCAGATGCCAAAAATCAGGACTGACCATGGCATCAAAGCCCAATGTGAAGGACAGAGCTTCCCCCTGACTCACCTGCCCATCCTCGTACTGCTTTGTCAACCAGCCCTTCTTTAAGTTCAACAGGTCAGGCTGCAAGAAAGGAGAAGGGTGAGCAGAGGGGAGGTCAAAAGCATCTGCACCCAGAAGACAAGAGCAGCAGCTTGATAAAACAAAGCAGAGGCCAGTAACAGCTAAATTCATAGAACTATAGAACAGTTTGGGTTGGAAGGGACCTTTTTAAAGGTCACCTAGTCCAAACTGGCTCATTATATTGCATGGTGGCTAAATGTCCACTCCCAGGAGGAACAAAGACCTGCTATATGCTTTATTCAGGCTGTTCTCTTCCTAGCACTCCTCTTGGAATTTCCTACTGCTATGCCAGCATCACAGAGGAAGGAGAAGCAATGAATTAGCACGACTGCAGGCAGTTTTGTCCCTCTATTATATATTACAAACCAAAAACTATGTGCTACGGATGCAAGGCTACATCCTAAATTCCCAAGGCTGGAAATACAGGGAATCTGAGCACTGCACCACCCAAATGACACCTGCTCTTCACTCCAGAGAGGGTGCAATGGGATGCTGAAGCCCTGGGAAAAGCAACCAAGGCAGCGTGGGATAACTCCTGCCAGCCCTGCCCGTGTGGAGGGAAGGATGTGGTGGAAATGCTTTCACTCCCTCGAGGCTGAGCAACTCCAGCTGCTCCACGTGCTGCAGAGCGGAGAAGGAAAGGACAGCAGTGTGTGAAATGCAGCTGTAGTGCCTGAAACAGGATATAGCAATGGGATCACTGGAAAACTGGGGTCTGGAAGCCTATTCAATCAAACTGATGCTGTGAAGCACACACATTTGGGTGTTCCCATCATGGTGGCAACACAGCCCCACTCCACAAAAACACAGGGGGAAGTAAATGCCATGCTGCCCTTCAGGAATTTTGAACAGACAGACACCAGCTGGACCAGCCCTGGCTGCGTTGTGGCTGCTGGCAATAAACCCACTACCCCCTACCAGGGCCTGCTGATGAGGCAGCAATAAGCCATGAACAAACTATAGAGAATATTGCATTGGCCATGACTACATCATCTCTAAAGAGCTGGGCATCCTGATCTCAGCCCTAATTCACCCTGAGAGAGCAACTCCACCACTTCTTCTCTGCCAAAGTGCAGGTGGAATCGTGCTCTTGGGGTCTGGGTCCTATTGAAGCCCTTTCTTGTGCTACAGGAGAGCATCAAGCAAAGAATCTGTATTGGGATCGAAGATAACTGGCTCCCAGCTATGCACTTTGTAGAGAAGGAAAACAGGACTATAGGAGTTAGTTGTTCACTTGTTATTTATCAACTGGGAATAAACAGAATGTTCTGGAAAAGCAGATAGATCTCTCCTTAGCAGCATTCATACTACACCTCTTAGTTTCCCTAAAATTTAAGCAAAGCTATAGGAGCAGCCAAAGAGGAATGATGCTGCTAAGCAGTATATGCATATGTTTTAGACTGGGCTGCAGTGAGATACTACAGAAGCACCAGGAGCAGAAGGTTTCTCCTGCAGGTCCTGCTCCACACAGAAGCCCCTCTGCTTTCCTCTGAGTGCTCGGGCAGATAAGAGAGCACAGACTGTGCCTGAAGCTGCAAAGCTGCTGCAGCATGAAACGTCTGGGACCAGCTGCCACTCAAGGGTGCAGGCATTAGAAACCAAAATGAGATGAAGCACATGATGGAAGAGATATACCAAATGCAGCACAAGCCACGGCTCTTCTGTAACCTATGGAGCCTAAAGAAGGGATGAACTCTCACTTGGCTTTTATCCTGATGAACCCAATGGGCAGGGGAGAGTCGTGCAATCACAGCTGCAAGCCAAGCAGTAATGCAGGTTTTTCTTATACTGCTACTTTTATAGCAGGAGTGGCACAATAAAGGCTTATTTAATGCAAGGAAAAGGTTTTCTTCCCACTGACTTCCTTGCCTTCACTGGATGCTGTGCATTGCCACTTAACATGCACTTCTTGCACCCTTTTATTACCACCAAGAATTTAAAATCCCTCTTGTGGCTGTACAAGTCTACATGAAAAGCTACAGGAAGACTCAGTCACTGCATTTTTCTGCAAGTCCTTGAATGGAAGCTGCCCATCCATAAAAAATGCAGCTTGTATTTACAGTGGCTCTGTAATCTTTGTGAGAGATTAGCAAGTGTATTTATTTTGCTCCTACAGAAGGGTGGTGAGTGAGAGGAAAGCATTCTGTGTTTGTTCTGTACTGTTTGCCTTCAGGTCTGCTGAGCATTTGAAATATGCAAAGGGAGGAAAGCTCAGGAGGGAGGTTTGACCCCTCCTCACAGCCTTCATCCCACTCACACCCACCTGCAACTGCACAAACATCAAGGTAGTGGCATTAGAAAACTGGGCCATGTGTTAGCTCTGTCTGAAGATGCATCAGTTCATGACCCAGAGACAGCACAGGGCAAAGAGGGGCCCTGGCTGGCAACCTCAACACCTCAGGGGTGACCTACAGCGTCAGTGTCTAACACATCAAGCAAAGCATTGAGGAAACAGGGTATTCCAGGGAAAAATGTCTAGCAAAATGGGTGGCTGCTTTCCAAGCTGCTGCTGTACTTGAAGGAAAAGGACTCCTTGCAAGACTGTTCCAAACAGTAGAAGCAAACAGGCAAGAAGTGCAGGTCTCTCCAGCTGAGCTCCTGTGACTCTCAGGATTGGTCACAGCTGATTCAGGTCACTGAAACCTGCTCCAAATCCGAGTGTATCCTATATTCTACGTCCTGGCCATGGGGAAGCAGCAGACAGCCCAGTTTTCATTGCACCTGCCTGGGAAGGGCTTCTCACATCCTGCCCCAAGGCAGAGGACTCGGCCCCGGTGTCTCACCGTCATAGAGGACTCCGTGGACCTTCTGTCCAGTGACTTTGCCCGGCGGTGTGGGGACAGAGGAGACGCAGACACATCCAGGATGGAGCCCACAGCTGCAGCTTCACAAGTGAAGTCCTGTGTGAACAGTGTTAGCCCAGATCAGTGCAGGAACTAGGACAGAGTCCTGCTCTTTTGGCTCATGGCATAAAAATCCCTGTTATTTAAGGGGCATCTCAGGCTCAGAACAAGTGTCATTGCACTGGCAATACATTTTTGTCCTCTCAGGCATTAATTTGTTCCCAATATATCTAAGTGTATCTGGGACTCTCAAGACTACCTATTTCTTTTGTTACCTCAGCCCATCCTGCTGTGTCCTGCCACGCCAGATCTGAAGTTTCCCTGTTTCTATTTCAGAGGAAGGAAAAAAGACAGCCTCATTTTCCACTCTGCAGCTGGGCCATGGGAGCAGAGCAGCAAGCAGCAAACCTGCATAGGCTGAGCACACTCAGTGTGTGCATGAGCCTGTCTGTGATCCAGATCCCCTGCTCCAGCCAGGGACAAAACCCTATAGCTAAACCTATAGCTAAACCTTCTATCCTGGGATGCCAGATCCCATCTTCCAAAGCCCACAAGGCTTGGGATGAGCAGCTTACCCGTTTCCGTGGGAAAACCCTCTTCTCACTCCTGCCCTGCCGCGTCTCACTGGAAAGGGCAGCACCGGCCGATACGTTGGTTTCCATGTGCTCTGCGTTCTCAATATCTAATGCCTCAAATTTTTCAATTACCTGGGATCTCCTGGAAAATAGACAGGAAAAGGGAAACCAGAGCCGGTTTAAACCCCAGAACTGAGCTGAGCTGTACAACCCCACACATTTAAGGCTGCAGAATTACTCGACCCCAGTGTTCATGCACACCGGGTTTCTGGTCCCTCTCTGCGAGCTCAAGCATGCACAAACCCAAGGCAAAAACCACCCCAATCTGACAATGCATCATTTTACCCATGGCCAAAGAGGGAGAAAACCCTCCCCAGTATCCTCTTAAATATCTAGAAACCCCTTGCAAACCCAGCAATAACTATGTACTTGTAAATTTTACAGCCCTTTGAGAGGCAGGGATTGAGCTTTGGCTCAAGCTTTGTCTTTACTCTCCAGCACTGCAACTACCGATGGCTCCCCCAGGTCACAGAGCAGACACAACAGACCAAGCTGGGGTGCAGAGGTGGCTGTGGGTCACCCTGTGTGTTCACTGCAATAGATGGCCTGTAAAAACTCAGCCACACACAGGGAACACCCAGAGGAGTGTCCATAGGTGCCTCCAGACAACAGGTCTGGCTTGCAGGTTGTAGCACCTGAGAAGGCATGAGATGAGGAGCACCCTCTGCAGGCACCCCCTGAAAACCCCTGGGGCTCTACCCTCCTCTCAAACTGTTCTGCAAATCCAGTATGGACAGCAGGGAGCACAACCTGGGCTCTCAGACACCACCTTGGTGACCCATTGCACCATGGCACTTATGTCTCTGAGGATGGAGAAGAACTATGAAGAAATGTGGATAGAGCAGGAGCCGAGCCCAGACCAAACCCAAATGTGATGTTCCTAAGAAAGGGCCTTTGCAGGTGGAATTAAAGCACCATTCCAGCATGAAAAGCTGCTCACTGACCCACAGGAAACACTGGAGTTTTCAAAGGACCTGCTGGTGCCTAAGTTTGCATGCCAAGGTCTGCGTATCAACCTCAGGTCTTTAACCAGAACATGGGAACATGAAGCAATAACCCACCACCACCACACATGCCAAGTGAGCTCCAAGCTCAGTTTTGAACCTCCCCAAAAGCTCAGTCCAGGTGGGTTCTGGACACAAAATCTGGACCCACACATGCCACATCTCAACTCAGGGCTGCTTGCTCTGTGTGAACCTCTAATGTGCATGAAAACCACAAAAGCAACCACAGGAGGGGAAACAGGTTATCCAAAACAACATTTTTAACACTTCCCAGAGAAAGGAACAGCAGATTAAGGGCTCAAAACCCATGAGATGTTCAGTTTTTAACCAACATTTGCACCAAATTCCATCAATGGAACCAACAGTCTGAGCACATCACATCCCCCAGGGGGCTGGGGTCCCTCACTGCTGCTCAGAGCCAGGCTGCCAGGACTGGGTGCCGAAGCCCACAGCCGAAGAGGAAGGGATAAAATCAGCGGGGGGAGACTTTGCTTTGTAAATCCAGACCCCTCTGATGTTTTTATGGGACATGTGCTCAGCCCCTGCTGACTCCCAGTTTGCAGACTGGGAGCGGGCAGATCCCAAGCTTGCACAGAGCTCCCAATCTCTCTGGGATGTTCTGCTCATGAGATGTCCATTCACATAAGCCTGTGGAGCATAAATCCACATCCTCCATTCACCAACAGTTGGGGAATTGCTTTGGAAACACAGTATTTGAACCTTTTTTACACTGGCCCAGCCTTCTCTGAGTTTCAGTTTAGGAGGGAGTAAGAGATCCATGAATTAACATTGTCTGTGCCCTATTTAGGTGAAGGCCTGAAGAAAAACAAAATCAGGAGGAAAATTAAACCAAACCGAAACAACCAAATAAAACCATAAAACAAAATCAAAAGCAGGTTGATTTCTCATGAAAGGGGCTGCACCATCAGGTTGTTCTACGGCTTGAGATTGAGATGAGATGGTAGCGAAGCAGGCGAAGTAAAGGTGGACACGTCACACAGCAACACAGCAGGAGAAGGTGGAGAGCAACAAGACCTGGAAGAAAATAAGGCTGGAAAATGAATGAACAGAAGAGGAAATTATATCTCTGCATCTACATACAAAACAAAATCAAAATCATTCCAGTAATTCGTCATTAAAAAAGGGAGGAGGAAAAAATAAATCACTGCAACCAAATCACAGCCCCAGGGGTTAATATCATCCAGATTACAGGGAAGAATAGGTTTTATTTCCCATTAGCTCGTTTCAGAGAGGTTGCTGCTAGAGATCCTGGAGGAATGGGGAGGGGAAGGGCTGTCCTCTCCTCCCCACCACGAGGGGAGAGGTGCTCCCTCTGAACAGCAGCTCTGTGTTGCCAAAACAAGGCTGCGGGCAGGTACCAAGAAGCGCTTGAAAAGCTGCGGTGCCATTCAGTGCTTTCTCAGCTACAAAGCTCATCCCAAGTTGTTCCTCAGCCATGCAGGCTGTTAATCTTTTCCAGGCCATCAAACCCGAGCTGCAGATCTGGGCTGTGAGGTGGAGGGGGGGTGTGTGGTGGGAAGAAAAGCTATAAAGACCAGCACGAGCTATCGTTAAAATGATTCTCTTTGATTGGAAGAAAGGGCTTGTTTTTATTGGATTCATTCATTATTGAGCAGCAAGAAAGACAGTGAGTGTCAGGGAAAGGAAGAGGAATTTTCCCAAAAGGTCCACAAAAATGAAGAAGATAGTTTTACAAGGAAAAAAATATATATTCTTGTGAAAGCAGGCGCTCCTCTATGGGCAGAAGCAGCATTCAGAGCAGAGCCTGCCATCTCCAGAAGCTCCAGAGAAGGGATTTGAGAAAGGAAAGTCTTTTAAGCAACTTCAAGCAGCTATTTTTCAAGGCTAGAAAGAGACCCTCAGCCCCTGACCATGCTCCTACAGCAGATCCAGCAGATGCCACAGGGGACTCTTGCCAGCATGAGCAGAACATGGGGTCAACCAGGAAAACCACAGGTTTGGAGGCTGCATCCCTGAAAGCGTGCAAGAAAAGGCAAGTTTGGCAACCAGAAATCCCACAGCTTCCCGGGAAGCTGCATGAGGAAAAGGGCACCAGGTCTCTGCACCCCAAGGACCCCCCACCTGATGGTGGTCTCCTTCCCACCCTCTTGAGATGTGCCAGGATTTATCCCTGCAGCTGCAAAGTCCCACTGGGATACAGGGACCAATGTCTGAGGACATCCCTGAAGCTCTCTGTGCCAAACAGGCTTCAAGATTCATTCATGGGGTTTCCAAAGAGCTGCCCCTGCTCTTTCACCCTATGGGTGGGTCTGAGATGGGAATCTGGAGGCACGTCAGCCCCGTCCTGCCACGTGCCAGCAGAGGGAACTCGCACTCTGCTGCTCCACCAAAACCCTGGAGATGATCTTCTGCTTTCTGGCTCTGAGTGGCTGCGAGCTCAGACAGGGCGTGAAGGCAGCCTCAGGTATAAATGGTCAACATGGAAAACTTCCAGCCCAACCCTGGACTTAAGTCTTGTAATATCTCTTACTATAAGGAAACGGGACAAGAAACCAGCTTTATGGGGAGCTAAGCCTGCAGGTGTGCCACTAAGGATGCAGCACAGGGTACCTAAAATAATCCTTTTCCATCCATAGCTCTGACACTCGCACTAATTTATGGTGGGTAAACAAAAAAAAAATGGGAGGAAGAACCCAAAATACCACAAAATTCAAAGCAAGTTTGTTTGGCTACACTGAGGGATGAAAGGCAGATCTGAACCGTGCCTGGCTGGCACCTATGGGGTTGGCATATGGGCAAGTGACTTCAGGCAAGTGTTCCTGGATGTGTTAGTGGGTTACTGAGAAGGATTGTTAGAAATGGTGTTAAACTCCAAGGGAAAAGCTGACCCCAACAGCAGGGAAGTGAGTTATTTTATCTGCTCAACCTGAAAGAGCACAGGAATAAAATGAGAAGGATATGTGGACTAAATAAACTCAAATTCAAGAAGCAGCCAAGCCAAGCCGAGCAGGGTGCTGGTGAATGGTCGTTCTCTGGTGTGATGCTGGGCCTGCTCTCTGCCATCATCCCCCTCCCAAACGCTGGCCCAGGCTCAGCCCATTGGGCAGCAAGCCCTAGGTCAGTATCTGCTCCTTTCCCGACACCCATCCTGCTCTGATAAAAGGCCCTCCTGATAAAGCACTAAAAACCCATTAACAGCTCCAGGAGCCCAGCTGGGCTGGGAAAAACAGACTTTCCTTGGGGAAAGGCACCCGCCAGCAGGCAGTGAATGGGGCTGACATTAGAAAAGGACAGTCTATGCCTCTCCTCTCCTAGGCCCTTTATCTGCCTGTAAATCTGTTCTTCCCTGCCCTCAGCTGGTTCATCCCAGCTCCATGCTGGATCCCAGTGCTGCAGGATACCCCGGGCTGGAGCAAGGGACTGTCAGCACGAGAGGAACACGTTGTCCTCTCACAATGGGACAGGCATTGGCCAGGGCGTCCTGTGCAAGCAAACCCATGCTCTCACCCACACCTGAACCAACACACTGCACCAGTTCAGCCAGCAAACCAGCAGTCACCAGCCTTCTCTCAGCCCTGTCCCAAGCCCAAAAGGCAGTGTGGAATCGTTCTCCCTCCTAGGGAAAGCCTAATTCCCAAGGCAGAGAAAGCCAAACCCGTGTTCTTCTTTATTCCCAGTCCAGCACTCGCTGTGCACACTGCCAAGGGCTGGGCTGGGTTTGGGATCCTCCTGCCGACTGGCACAAAGTTGTGCCATACTTCCCAGACCCACTTCCAGCTCCCGGAAGCCAGGCTGGAAAACAATCCTTTAGGGGCTGGGAAGAAACAGAGGAGAAATGACTGCTGAAACTGTGCGAGAGAGAACATGCCCGGAGGAAAACCAGGGCAAGACAATCAGACTGGCAGGCGGCCCTCTTGCCCGGGGCCTGTCTCCTGGTTTGCTCTGCTGCCCTCCCTGCACAAATCCATCTCTCCCAGGGCAAGTCGAGCCTGTCCCTCGCCCGGAGAGCACGGAACATGCCAGTGCATGGAGCAGGCGTGTGCGTGGATGCTCTCCCTCCCAGTCCTCCTCCACACTAAGCTGTTCTGCTTTGGCACTGCACCCGCCTCTCCTCTCCCAGATTAATGCCCTGACATTCTGCAACCTCTCTCAGCTCATTAGGCAGTTGCATAAGGCACCTGGCACTAACACCATTTAAAGAGCTAACCTAGTTCATGGTGCCAGCTGCCAGTGTGTGCCGTGCTGGGGAGGGGACGAGGAAGGTTTTTTTTTCCAGCCACTTAGCACCACCCACCACAGCCAAGCACCCTCAGAGCAGCCAGGCAGGGTGATCCCTGCCCGCTGGCACTAGAGACATCCCACCCCCTAGTCAGTGTGGATGAGCATCCTTAAACCCAAGAGCACTGAATATAAAGGGGTTCCACCCAGGGATGCAGCCTCACTACTGTTGCAAGCATGCAAGGAGGAGATGAGCCACTCATCCCTTACCTTCTCTCACTGCCAAAGAGCCGGGCCACTTCTTCTCTCCCAGGGCTACGGGCCCGGGTTCTCCGCTCTAGCCGCTTCCTCTCCACCTGGAAGGCCTCCCGATTACTGATCCTAATGGCCTTGGGAACGTCGGCCAGGGTGGTGTACTGCCGGCTGGCTTTAAAAGAAAGGGGACGCCCCGATTTTTCAGCTCCCCTTCCTACATCTCTGCTGCTGGAGTCCTTGTGCATGGGGCAACTGCTCTTCGAGTCCAAGGAGTTCAGAGAGAAGCTGTGACTCATTCGGTCGCCTGCTCGAGTACCTGGGGAAGGAAAGGGCTGGGCATGCTCCTGTGAGGGCGATTTGGGATAACTGTACCTGTTGTTCGGGGTGCTGGGGCTGGGGGGGCTCGGTGGGGGAGGCAGCTGCTGCTCTTCCAGCTTCGAGTCTTGCTTGGTCTTCTCCAAGGAAAAGTACCCGCTCTCGACACGAGTCTTCCGCCCGCAGTCTATCCGGTCTCCGTTCATGGAGCTCTCGTCTATGGGACACAGAAGGCACCGAGCTTGGTTTCAAGTACAATTTGGTTTCAAGTTGGAGTCTGCTGTTAACATCACCCCGATTCCACTCAGGACAGGGACAGGCAACAAGAGCCCCAACCCCACGCTGTGCCATCTCTTGCACTCTTGGCTTTTCTACGCTGACCACCCTTCATGTCCATGGAGATGGGATGGTCTGCAGGGAACTGGGGATGCTGGTCCAACCCTTAGGTCGGGCTTGCATAGATGAATAACAGATGGTTAAGGTTGGTAGGGACCTTAAGATCATCTAGTCACAACATCCTGCCACGGGCAGGGACACCTTCCACTAGAGCAGGTCGCTCCAAGCCCCTGTGTCCAAC